AAATACAGGCCAATGGAACAGGATAGAAGGCCCAGAAATAAACTCACGCACCTATGGCTACCTTATTTTTGACAAAGGAGGCAAGAATATACAATGGGACAAAGAAAGTCTCTTTAATGAGCAGTGCTGGGAAAACTGGACAGCAACATGTAAAAGAATGAAATCAGAACAGTTTCTAACACCATATACAATGAAAAACTCAAAATGAATCAAAGACCTAAATGTAAGACCAGAAACTATAAACCTCTTAGAGGAAAATATAGGCAGAACACTCCATGACACAAATCAAAGCAAGATCCTCTATGACCCACCTCCTAAAGTAATGGAAATAAAAACAAAAGTAAACAAGTGGGCCCTTCTGCTGCTGCTGCTAAGTCACTTCAGTCATGTCCGACTCTGTGCGACCCCATAGACAGCAGCCCACCAGGCTCCCCCGTCCCTGGGATTCTCCAGACAAGAACACTGGAGTGGGTTGCCATTTCCTTCTCCAATGCATGAAAGTGAAAAGTGAAAGTGAAGTCGCTCAGTCGTGTCCAACCCTTAGCGACCCCATGGACTGCAGTCCACCAGGCTCCTCCGTCCATGGGATTTTCCAGGCCAGTACTGGAGTGGGGTGCCATTGCCTTCTCCGCAAGTGGGCCCTACTTAAACTTAACAGCTTTTGCACAGCAAAGGAAACTATAAGCAAAGGCAACTTAAGGACAGACTTTTCCAAAAACAGTGTTGGAACAACTGGACATCCATAAGCAAAAATATAACCTAAGCCTCATATCTTATAGAAATTAACTAAAACTGGATTACAGATCTTAATGTAAAATACTAAGATAAAAAGCTTTTAGAATCTGCAGTATAAAACCGTGATGACATGGAGATAGACAAAGAATTTTTACACACAACACCAAAAGCATGATCCATAAAAGAAAAAAATTATAAATTAGACTTCAATTTAAAACTTTTGCTTTGTGAAAGAGAAAGAAAATTAAAAGCAAGCTATAACTTGGAGAAAATATTTACAAATAGCATATCTGACAGAGGATTTGTATTCTAAATATCTAAAGAACTCTCAAAACTCAGCAGTAAGAAAACACAGACCCCAGTTAAAAATTGGGTAAAAGACTTGAACAAAAAGTTCACCAAAGAGCTAGACAGAGGGCAACTGACTACACTAAAAAGACGTACAGTAACTTTAGCCATTAGGTAAATCCAAATTAAAGGCATAATGATATTATAACAGCTAAAATTGTTTTTAAAGAGTGACAATGCCAAATGCAGAAAAAGATGCATAGCAACTACAACTCGCATACATTGTAAGCAGGAAGGCAAAAAGGACAGCAATTCTGAAAAAGTGTGGCAGCTCCTTATAAAGTTATTAATATACACTTACTATGTGACCCAGCAATCCCATTCCTTGTATCTATCTTAGAGAGATGAGCATCTGTGCTCACACAAAAACCTGTACATAAATGTTTATCATAGCTCTATTCATAATCACTTCAAACTGGAAACAACCCAAATGTTTTTCAACAGGTGAACAGATAATCAAACTTTAGTATAGTTTATCAGTGGAATACTACTGAGCAATAAAGTGGAATGAATTACCGATACATGCAATAGCTTGGATGAGTTTCAAAAGCATTATTGTCAGTGAAAGAAACCAGTCTCAAAAGATTACATATTCTATGATTCCATTTACATGACATTAGTGAATTATCAGGGGTTAAGAGGGGACAGCCAGGGGTTTGGGGTGTGACAGCATGAGAGAGTTCTAGGGGGCAATGGAACTGTTTAGTATCCTGATTGTGGTGGTGGGTACATGGATGTACATACAAGTTAAAATGTACACAACCATACACCCTCATTTTCTTGGGCTCCAAAATCAATGTAGACAGTGACAGCCATGAAATTAAAAGATGCTTGCTCCTTGAAAGAAAAGCTAAGACAAACCTAGACAGTGTATTAAAAAGCAGAGACATCCCTCTGCCGAAAAAGGTCCATATAGTCAAAGCTATGGTTTTTCCAGTAGTCATGTATGGATGTGAGAGGGACCATAAAGAAGGCTGAGCGCTGAAGAATTGATGCTTTCAAACTGTGGTGCTGGAGACTATGCAAAGTCCTCTGGACAGCAAAGAGATCAAACCAGGCAATCCTAAAGGAAATCAACAGCGAATCGTCATTGGAAGGACTGATGCTGAAGCTCCAATACTCTGGCCACCTGATGCGAAGAGCCAACTCATTGTAAAAGACCCTGATGCTAGGAAAAATTGACAGCAAGAGGAGAAAGGGACAACAGAGGATGAGATGGTTTGATGGCATCACTGACTCAATGGACATGAGTTTGAGCAAACTCAGGGAGACACTGAACAAGGGAAGCCTGACATGCTTCATTCAGTTCATGTGGTCGCAGAGTCAGACCTGACTTAGCGACTGAACAATACCCTCCCCACCACCAAGTCTATTATACTGTAGGTTAATCAAGATTTTTTTAAAGCTTTTAAAAATATATAGTTTAAGTTATCTTAGAACTTTCTTTTCTAGCTAGTCATGAATTAAGGCTCAAAATAAATGTTTTGAGCATGCGAAAACCAATGAGATGGGAGGACAAAGAGATAGTTGACAGGAAACTTAAATTTTTAAAAATTATACAAAGATATGGCAGATATACAAAGATATTAATTCTAAACTCAGAAACTCAAATTCTATCCCTCAACTAACAATAGAGGCTGTAATACATAATAACAACTAAAGACAAATATTTAACATCACCATGTAAAAAAGATAATTTGAGATGAAATAAAATTAGAGCATATATTAAGTCAAAAGAAAGATTCCACATTCGTACTAGATATTCATTTGGTCCTTGAAATAAAAATGACATTGTTTATTATTAGTATGGTATGTCTCTTGTTTTTCCTAATAGCAATTACAGATTTACAGTGATTTATCCAAATTTTTCTCAACTGATTCTGCTTGATATTAAAAAAAAAACACTTTTAAGAATGCTGACATGATGAATAAAGAAAAGGTGACATATATAAAAACAGAGAGTAGAATGGTGTTTGCTAGGGGCTTGGGGGGGTAGAAGAAACAGGGAGATGTTGGTAAAAGGGTACAGACTTTCATTTATAAGATGAATAATTTCTGTATGGCATGGTGACTATGGTTAATATTACTGTATTATATACTTGAAATCTGCAAAAAGGGTAGATCTTGAATGTTTTCGTTTCCCCCTGCAAAAGAGGGTAACTATGTGAGGCAATGGAAATGTAAATCAGCTTGATTGCAATAATCATTTCACAATGTATATGTGTATCAAATTACCATGCTGTATTCTTTAAATATATAGCCACTCCAGTATTCATGGGCTTCCCTGGTGGCTCAGATGGTAAAGAATCCAAATAATGTGGGAGACCTGGGTTTGATCCCTGGGTTGGAAAGATCCCCTGGAGGAGGGCACGGCAACCCACTCCAGTATTCTTGACTGGAGAATCCCAATGGACAAAGGAGCCTGGTGGACTACAGTCCATGGGTTGCAAAGAATCGGACACAACTGAGCTACTAAGTGCGCATGCGCACACATACACTTTAACTATATACAAATTTTACTCATCAATTATACCTCAATAAAACTGGGAGAAAAAAAAAAGACTGCTGACTGAGACCACATACTAAGACTGTCATAACTGTACCATTCTGTGCCATCCTAAGGAGCCATAATTTTTTTTTCTTCTCAAGAAATAAACCCAGAGCAAATCTACTAAAACACAGAGGATTATAATTCAAGACAGCTATTCTCCATAATTATATATATGTGACAGGTGCCATAAAATTAGACCTTAGGTTATGATTGTAAAAAACAAAAACACAAACAGATGACCACAAGTCATTTATTCAAAAAAGTGACCAACCTCACCATCTGCAAATTTTCCTAGTTCTTAAAGCGTTACAGTTATCTGTGACAGCACTCAATTTCTTCCAAATGATAACAGCACTTTTGTAATTTTTTTCAATCTTAATTGTTCCAAGGATACAAGCTTTAAGTAGCAAATACAGATCTTTCTCAAGTTGAAAGTATGTTAAAATATAAAGTTTGGTGTAATTAAAAAATTGATAACATATTTACCTATTGATCAACAATTTACTGGATGCTTAAAATATTCCAAGCCCTAAGGGTCACAGAAAAGAGATCAAAATGGCACAGATCCTCAAGGATTTAGCTGAGGACACAGTACACATCTGTGAGATAAAAAAACACCAGGACTATAAGCAAGAAAGTACTATGTAGAAAAATTAAAGAATAACATCTAAACAGATGTCAAAACACTCTTTAACAGGTCTTCCATATAAGTCAAATGGTAATTCAGAAGAGAAGAAAAAATCCACCTGATGTAGGGAGGACAGGGGCATGGCAAGAAGAAGAGCGTGCTGGAGTCCAGAGGCTTGTCTCAGCCCTGCCACTGAAACTCCAGGGTTGGTCTTCCTCCTCTCCCTACCGCGGGGCCAGAGTCCCTGAGGGAGTCCAGCTACGCTTAAGTCTGGCCGGCGTGACCTGTCTCTGCAATGCCCCCCAAGAAACAGACTCAGGCCGGGGGCAGCAAAAAGGCAGAGCAGAAAAAGAAGGAGAAGATTATCGAAGACAAAACTTTTGGTCTGAAGAATAAGAAAGGAGCGAAGCAACAGAAGTTTATCAAGGCTGTCACTCATCAAGTTAAATTTGGTCAACAGAATCCACGTCAGGTAGCACAAAGTGAAGCTGAAAAGAAGTTGAAGAAAGATGACAAGAACAAAGAATTACAAAAGCTGAATGAGTTGTTCAAACCTGTAGTTGCTGCTCAACAAATAAGTAAAGGTGCAGATCCCAAATCTGTAGTATGTGCATTCTTCAAGCAAGGACAGTGTACTAAAGGAGAAGTAAGTTCTCTCATGACTTGACCCTGGAGAGAAAATGTGAAAAGCAAAGCGTTTACATTGATGCAAGAGATGAAGAACTTGAAAAAGATACTATGGATAATTGGGATGAGAAAAAACTGGAAGAAGTTGTAAACAAGAAGCACGGTGAGGCGGAAAAGAAAAAACCAAAAACTCAAATAGTGTGCAAACATTTCCTTGAAGCTATTGAAAACAACAAATATGGCTGGTTTTGGGTATGTCCTGGAGGGGGTGATATTTGCATGTATCGCCATGTACTTCCTCCTGGATTTGTCTTGAAAAAAGATAAAAAGAAAGAAGAGAAAGAGGATGAAATTTCATTAGAAGATCTAATTGAAAGAGAGCGTTCTGCCCTAGGTCCAAATGTTACCAAAATCACTCTAGAATCTTTTCTTGCATGGAAGAAAAGAAAAAGACAAGAAAAGATTGATAAACTTGAGCAAGATATAGAAAGAAGGAAAGCAGACTTCAAAGCTGGGAAAGCACTAGTGATCAGTGGTCATGAGGTGTTTGAATTTCATCCTGAACTGGTTGACGATGATGATGAGGAAGCTGATGATACCCGTTACACCCAGGGAACAGGTGGTGATGAGGCTGATGATTCAGTGAGCGTAAATGACATAGATGTAAGCCTGTACATCCCAAGAGATGTAGAGGAGACAGGTATTACTGCAGCCAGTCTTGAAAGATTCAGCACATATACTTCAGAAAAGGATGAAAACAAACTAAGTGAAGCTTCCAGAGGTAGGGCTGGAAATGGTGAAAGAAGTGATTTGCAAGAGGACAACGAAGGGCAAGGACAGGAAAACGGAGCCATCAATGCTATTCCTGTGGATGAAAATCTGTTTACTGGGGAAGATTTGGATGAACTAGAAGAAGAATTAAACACACCTGATTTAGAAGAATGACACCAAACAAGTCAATGAAAACATTGAGCCAGCTCAGCATGAGTTGAAACTGACTACATTAAATTTTTTCCACCTAAAACTCTTCAACAGGATGTTTGTTTCCCATGCTGATTATGGAGGGCTTACTTCCTCCAAAAAAGGAATATTCTCCCTACATCTTGTTTTCTGACTTTGGCTACATCTCATAGTAAGTTCAGAGTAGTTCATGATAAATTAAAGATAAATGGTCATTGCAGAAAATGATTGATGGCTGTAATTGTCCACTCAAGTAGGAAGTGTAAACTGCTTTTCCAGCTTTTGATTTTCATTGGGCATGTGTTGTTACAAGGACAACATAAATTTAACTTACCCTTCATTTAAGGCAATTTTTAATGAGTGATTCTATTTCCTTTGTATTTATATGTTTAAAAGACTGCCTAAGATATGAGCCTGTACTTCATCAAGGAAACTGCATATGCAGATTCAGTATCGTATATCTTTGGACAATCAGATGGACATTTAAAATGAGACTTCATTAATCCGACAGGATCAACTGCAATGCCCTGTGTTAAACTGTTTGAAACCACTCCCTTTTCTTTTTTGCCAATAAAGTTGTAAATAAAAACAGTGATACAATAAATTAAAAAAAAAAAAAATACTCCAGGGTTAAACCCCAGCTGTTCCACAGTGCCCAAGGAGTAGACATGGTACCTGACACGAAAAGGACATTTGTTCATTCACTGTGATTTGGATTTGGCTAAGCAAGAAGGAGAGGCAAGCAGGGGCTCCTTCTCGCAGGGACCACTTAGGATGTCTGCTACTCAGGCAGACACCGCAAGCTCCCTGCTTGCATTCAGTAACACCTTCTTACAACCATGTGAAAGAAAGGATGCTGACATCTAAAGGAAGGAGCCTGCTGCTCTCCTTGTCTCCTCTAGAGTACAAATTCATCAAGGGCTGCACCATCCTGGACCCAGCTGCACCAGCACCTCACAGTCCCAGAGAACCACTATGATGCATCAGCTTAGTCTGACTTAGTTTCAGGTTGGTTCTCGGGGTCTCAGTAAGCTCATCTGAAGGAAAGGGAATGGGATCAAGTCCTTTACAACATTATAATCTACAAATGTAGTAAATTAGAAATATTAACTAGAGAGTATGAACCTTACTTGTTTACTTGTCACCAACAAGTAAAAACAGTTTATTAAATCTGTTACCTGGACTTGTTTGTTTTACAAGAAATACCAAGCTGTTTAGAAATGTCAAATTTGAAAAGAAAACACTACTGAATTCCTTATAAGAATGATTCTTACCTTAGTCTCAAAGTATTAAAATGAGGGCTTCCCTGATGGCTCAGTGGTAAAGAATCCACCTGCTAATGCAGAAGACACGGGTTCAGTCTCTGATCCAGGAAAATCCCACACGCTACGGAGCAACTAAGCCCTTGCGTCACAACTAGAGAGTCTGTGCTCTAGAGCCCACGTGCCCTCACCCGCCGAAGCCCATGTGCCCTAGAGCCTGTGCTCCACAACCAGAGGAGCCAGTGCAACGTGAAGTCCGCAATCACAACCGGAGACTACAGAAAGCCCATGCAGCACAGCCAAAAATAAATAAATAATGTTTAAAAAATATGAAAATGGTGAGATCTCACAGTAAAACACAACTTCTGCAAAGATTCATCACAGTTCTTCAACAGGTTGAGTTAACTTTATCACTCACAACAGTATTCTTAGAAATCAAATAGTGTTAGTACCTCAACACCACCTAGCCGAGTAGAGTTCCTATCAATGCCTGCAGGGAGCAAGAAAAGATAAAGAGTGCCTGTCTCAACTCCCAGATGTCAAATCTAGAAGTTGAAGACAACAAATCATCTGAACAATTACTGAATGGCAACTCTCTAGTAGGCACTGCAGTACATGGATTACCTTATTTAGTTCTCACAATAAGTCTAGGAAGTAGCTAGTTATTATCACAATTTTAATGATGAGACAACTGAAACTGCTGAGATTAAAAAATCTGCCCACAGCTATAGAGTCTCACAAAGTCTAAAAATAAGGCAATCAAAGAAGAATGTACTGCCTTGAACCTTCAGGAAAACACAGTCTGATTAGCTGGACCCTGACTGTTCACATCCCATTGGCAGATGTAGCCCTACTGTGAAGATGTGAGCTATCAAACTATTATGGCTTGATACTATTAAGAAATAATTTGCTTGTTTCCCATAGGAGTCTTCAGTAACTTTGGGTAGCATGAAATCAGTTCCCGTGACCAAAATAAGTTTCTGCATCTACAACTGCTAAGGAACAGACACCAGACTGTCCACGTTAAGGTCATTTTCTGAGGTCTGATAATAAATGGTACCTCCCTGGAAGACATGTCTGGTTCTTTATTCATTAACCACAACATTCCTTTGTCTCTTCTTCGGTATATTAACTTTCCCCAATGGATTTCTAGCATGTTCTATATATAGCAAAAAATGTGAAGCTGAGTCACTAGAGTGAGTTCCTAAAGAGCACCAGGTCCATACACTTTAAGATGCCAGGGACTGAGACAGCAGATGTAGTATTTTATTGAGAAGAGTAAAGACTATTTTTTTTTAAAAGACTATTCTTTTTTACACCATAAGGGTATCCACTCTGCAAGGAGCTGCACAGTAACAGGTGGCTGAGAAAGCAAGACAAAAATTAAAAAAAAAAAAAAGGAAAGAAAGTGATATTAATCTCTTCAAGTGTACAAAGCAGTGCTTGATAGAAATCCACAATTCTAAACTATGAAACATGGGAGACTGCCTTAAAATAGAAAAAGTTAGGATATATATTATACATATAATGTAAGAATAAATAAATGTTTCACTAAATCTATAGTGATAAAGCTCAAGTTAAAGTAACTGCAAAAGTGGAGAAGAGGCATGATTAAGATGAGAAAAACTACAATCACTTAAATCCTTCTGCCCTTATCCTTCCATTCATCTTATCAGAATTTTAAAAATTAAGGTTTTTGTATGAATGAACATAGCACCTGCTTCTTGTAGAAACATGTGAAAAATATTAAATAATAGATAATTGGAAAATAACCTATAACTTAACTGTTTAAAGTTAGGATGCTTTTATATTCTTTTAGATAAATATTTCCTTTATAAGAAACTCAAAAGTATCATCTTAGTTTTTTCATTTACTATATTTTCAATATTTTCTTATACTTAAACATCTTAGAGTTCATGATTTTTGTCACCTGCAATTTTTCCTTTTTAGTATATTAAACACAAATTTAAACATAATTTACAATGGTTTTATGGTGTTTGGTTATATGGCTGTAGCAAAATTTAATCATTTAAGAGGCTTCTAATTTTTAAACTTTATAAATAGCATGGAAATGAATAACGCACACACTCATATATACATATACATCTCATACTTCCTTAAAATAAATTGCTAGAAATGGAATTGGGGGCAAAGGATATATTGCCAAACTGCCACTGTAGTGGTATGAATGTTTGTGTCTCCCCAAAATTCACATATTGAAATCTAATACCCAATGTGATTGTTTTTGGAAGTGGAGCCTTTTGGAGATAACTAGATTACAAGGATGGGGCCCTCAAGAATGGGATTAGTGCCTTATACGCAGCAGTCAAAGAGCTAGTTAGCTCTGTTTCTTCCATGTGAAGATACAGGAAGTCTATAGTCTGCAACTCTGAAAAGGGCATCACCAGAACCCAGCCACACTAGCACCCAACCCTGAACTTCAAGACTTCAAAACGGTAAGAAATAAACTATGTTGTTTATAAGTCACCTGTTGTTTATAATACCATAAGTTTATAGTATTTGTTATAGAAGCTTGGGCTAATATAGCCATTTAGATACTTGTATCAATTTATGCTCCTAACAACAGCAAGTATCTGCCAACACTTGATTTTTTTTTTTTTTAATATGAAAGACCCATTGAAGCATGCTGACTATGATGTAATGATTCTAACCTCTTGGGCTTTTCCCCATAATCTTATTTCATAACCTTAGAGAAAAACCTTAGGGAAGTATCTCTTGTAGTAAATAAATATTTAGCTGTGGCTGAGCCATTCTTCCACTGTTGATTCTGCTTAATAAATTTACTCTTGTTAATTAAAATGTTTTTAATTAAAAATAGTATGAATTGCATAAATCTACCTTAAAAATTATTTTTCTATGTGTGTATTTGCAATAAGAGATCTGACATGATAACGGTAACCATGGTAACCTCATTTTGGGATATTAAGCTTTCTTCCTTTCTTTTGAACTTTCTTCTTTATAGCTCTCAGTATGGCTTGAAAATTAAAATATGATGATATGCTATACCAAAAGTTACAAAGGTTTTTAGGGAATTCCCTGGTAGTCCAGTGGTGAGAACTCTGCACTTTCACTGCTGAGGGCCTGAGTTTGATCCCTGGTCAGAGTACTAAGATTCCACAAGCCACACAACAAAACATGTTTTTAAAAAGAAGAAAAATTAAAATGAAATTTTACATTTCCATTTCCAGTTATGATGGAGTAACTGATACAGAGCTAGACCTACTGCTGTGAAAAACCATCAAACTGGGCAATACACATTAAGTATTATTTTCAGATGTTGGACAACAGGCAGCATCAGACTGCAATTCTTCAGAGGAGGGAAACAAAGACTCATGAACACCCTGGTTTTCTGCATGTACCTGGGAAGGGAAACCTCCAAAGAACACAGAGATCTCACTGAGTTGAAAAAATGAACTTCATGTTTGAGGCTACTGAAATCACTGGAATTTAAAGAGAATATAAGAAAGAAGTGAGTTGTGGTGAGAAAACATTTCAAAAACCTATAGAGAGATCTCCTAATTCTTTGCCAAGACTAAGCTAAATATGCACAAGGCAAGACTCCATGAGGCCAAAGAACAAAATATGGGGAAAGAACAGCTATGGAGCATGCGCTGAACAACTACCTGGGAGACATTCAAATTCCTGGCAGCTGGAGAGGAGGGACTTCAATGAGTATTACATGCATTGGGTAGAGATCTCAGA